TTTTGACACAGCGTCTGAAATCAGCACAATAAACATCTAAAGCCATTTAAAACATTTAATGTGTTTTACAAACATCTTCAGGAGTTCACACAAGAGAAGATACAGGTATGAGGGCAAACATAAGCAATTCTATTTAATTTTGCATTTAGTTAAATTTTTTAAAAACATATTTAAACAATAAAAACTGTACAAATACCTTATGAGAATACAAAAGAGCATCAACAGAAAAGCTCACATGTCACAATACACAAAAGAGAGTAAACATTAGCAGTGCATAAAATTGTAATCATTAAAACAATTAAATAATACATACAAATACAAATAATATTTTTTTTTTCATTTTTTAAATTATATATATATATATATTATATAGTGCTGTCAAATGATTAATCGTGATTAATCACATACAAAATAAAAGTTAATATATGTGTGTGCTCTGTGTACATTTATTATGTATACATAAACACACACACATTCAGTATATATTTAGAAAATATTTACATGTATTTACATGTCTATATTTATATTCATTTAATTTATATTATAAATATATATATATATATATATATATATATATATATATAAACTAGAAATAGACGGATCTATTACTTGGGACATGTTTAAATTTGGAGTAGGCGATATTACTTCTTATATTAAAACACTGTAATCCCAAATGTAATGTTTTGAAAACAGCACCTAGTTTACTGTCTTTAAAAAGGAGCTAGCCATGTATAAGCGATAAGGCCAAGAAATTATTTGATTTGTTTAGTCTTCACCAAAGGATATGGTATGAATTCATCTGGTTTTATATTAGAGCTGAATACACACACAGCATGCATGCATAAATAAATGTGCGTGCATGCATGCATAAATAAATGTGTGTGCATGCATGCATAAATATGAAAAAAGGACAATGCATATGCATATCACAGAAACATTAATATGTAGAGGAAGTCAAGTTAAACCTCAACAATCGAATCATTAAAAAACCCTCATATTGTTTCATCCATTTAATTTTGCTTGATGCATTGATATTTCTTAAAGTAACGTACAGGGAATTGAGTTTTTACCTTTTGTAATGGCATTTTTCTAACTTTATATTAAAAGTATGTCATCTTTTGTCAAATTCAAAAAATTCTATTTATAAGCTTTTTAACATTTCTAATAAAAACAAGTGGAATAAGCTACCAATCTAATGAAATCAGTATTTAAGAAATACATTTGTACTACAGAGGTGGCACAGAAGAACACACAAGTGGCTTGTAGGTGTATTTTCAGACGTTTAATGAGGCTCAGAGTGCAATTAAATTCATGTTGAGGTTAATGTTTTAAATAAGAAATATTAAACGATTTAAATAACAGAAACTGCCAGTAGGTGGCGGCAAGTCACTGATTTAATCACTGAATCGTTCATTCAATTGATTCGTTTGAACGGCTGATTCATTCAGGAACGACGTACGGGACTGTCTTTATGAATGGGTAATTGAGTCATTGACTCACTAGATTCGTTCAAAAACACAGTTCGTTCATAAACGAAACACCGCTGTGTTTGAATGGAGATGCGCAGCGGCTCGGCTGTGACTTTGAAACTATTCGTTGATGAAACAGAGCAAAATAAGGCAATAGTTTTGTAGTCAGACATTATAAGTCACTTCTTGTTTAATGAACTGTTGTATTAAATCAATATCACGTTTACAAACTCCCTTAACTCCTTAACTTTCACCGTACCAGTGACCGTACCGTTTTAGTAATCATCATAAATGATATATCATTTGAAAGCTTAGAAGCCCGAGATTCATCCTGTGAAAACCATTTTGAAATCGGACATAGCATTACCATGGAAATGGAACTTAAAAATCTTTTGGCGGTCCCCCTTAGTGGGCGGTGTCAAGTGTCATATTACAAAATGTATTACGGTATTTTACAATCAAAACTTTTTATAATCTTGACAAAATACATATCATTGGAAAGGTTTACAGAGAAATCTAGACATTTGTGACAGAAAAATGCATAAAAAAATTAAATGGAGTTTTGAAAGCACCCGGTGGCTGTTTGTGCTAGATTTTCACCTGCTATATAGGGAAGTATGCATATTCAAATGCAGCCTAAAAGAAAAGAAAAAACTCAGAAACGACATTTTTTTATATATATTAAAAGAAACATCCTAAAAAAAAGTTACATTATAAATACATAAAAGAAACATACTGGTAACAACAGTAAACCTAATATCAAGTGTAACACAATATTCATTCAGCATAATGTGTGATGCAACCATACTTGCACTGACAAATGCCATGCCACCATACAAAAGAATACAAGATGTATCTGAAAACATAAAACCATTGACAGTCATTTTGATATATATTTTCATTTGTTTATAGAAAATTTTAATAGTTTTTGAGTTATGCTGTGTTGGCACTAGATTCCATTATAAAATCTGAAGCAAATCCAGTAAAGACATCCACTGATCTCCCTTTGCCCTCATATATACTGCTATAAACATATAAAGTATTGTATAAAGTCTCATATATATCCTGAGTACGCCCATGCACTGTCTGCGTCAACCTGAAGTACAATTTCAAGTGAAAAAGGGAAGATGTGCAGCGGTAATGAGGCTTTCTGCTCTTGACATAAACCGTTCAGTTACCTTCATTATCACTGCAAGGCATGTGAAATGTATGTATGTGTTATGGCAACAATAGTAAAAAAAAGAAAGAAAGAACGAAAGAAAGGACAGCTTAGTTCTTCATGAAGGTTGAGCTCACAGTGTGTGTCTATATGTCTTTGCCTGTATGACATTTGTTAATGGGGCAGGCGCCAGTGTCTCACACATTGGACAGTGGTAACAATAATCGAGGAGCGAAAAGAGGATGTTTGAGGAAGATGGTAACAATATTAGACGACGCAAAGCTTGGTGAATGTCTCCAGCTGCGCATGCTTCATTAAAGGGTTACTGGGTGATGCCTGAAAATGTGAGGAAGGCAGTGGGTGTATTTGTATATACAGGAATCCAGTATACAAGCATAAAATCAGACAAAAACATTACATACATGTATTATGTATTATATGAATGTAATATATTTACTGAATATTGCTATTGTGTAAAAACACAAAGTATATTTCTCCATTTATTTTTTTATTATCATACATATTTTTATGTAAATTCTTTTTTTAAATGTAAAATATCAATTTAAATAATAATCTATTTAATATTTTATTAAATACAACTTTATAATTTAAGTAGTATATCATATTAAACCCCTTAACTGTTACCGTCCCACCTGTGGGACGCTTGGCGCTCTTTTTTGTTGCTGTCCTTTTTCTCTATCAAATCTTTAAGTAATCAGCATGAATTATATATAATTTGAAAGCTTAGAAGCCCAAGATTCGTCCTGTGAAAACCATTTTGAAATCGGACATAGCATTACCATGGAAATGGAACTTAAAAATCTTTTGGCGGTCTCCTCCCCCTTAGTGGGCGGTGTCAAGTGTCATATTACAAAATGTATTACGGTATTTTACAATCAAAACTTTTTATAATCTTGACAAAATACATATCATTGGAAAGGTTTACAGAGAAATCTAGACATTTGTGACAGAAAAATGCATAAAAAAATTAAATGGAGTTTTGAAAGCACCCGGTGGCTGTTTGTGGTATAACACCCTAAATAAAATCTCACGGGAACCTCAATTTTTTTTCATATCAACTTCAAATTTGGAACATAACTTATTTAGACATAAGGCTTTAATTTTACACCAATTTTAGAGTAAAACCTGTTATGTAAAATATTGACCATATATAAAATAAAATTAGTATAGCTAATTTTCTTTACAGTAAATGTAAACGTCTATAACTTTTTGATACATTAATTTTTAAACTTTTTTTTTTTAAATATGTATATAATTTTTATTAATTTTTATTTCAGTTTTAGCTATTTCAGTACATCAAGTTAAATGTACTAAAATAAAAATGAGAAATGTTGCTTTGCCAACTATCTGAAATTAGGCTTATTTTAACACATTTTTTATGGTTTTTGTTAACTATAATAACCCTGGGGTATATATTTAGCAAAATGCATCTTTCCAGAGCTCTTATTTTCATGGAAATTGACAGAATTTGAAATCTTTGTTTTATATCAAAAGTGACAAAACTCAAAGCTCACTGCGATTATTGGATGGCAGGTGCTACAAATAATATTCGTGAAGTTCTGTTCATCGACGGAAAACAGCATAGACTAAAAGATCGATCTCGGAATTTAAGAATCCATACAGTTGCATCAAAATGAATATTGATTAACTGATATTGTCAGAGATAATAACCCAAAACGACATAATCTCTGTGGCCCTCAGAAGCAGATATTGACCGTCACACGGACATGGAAGTGCTCCACGTGTTTTCATACTTGTTTGCACTAATTGACCCATGGATGTTTATCTTGGGAAAAGTGTGTGTGTGCTGCAGTCTGACTCCAGCTCTGCAAACGCTGCCATCCATATGCAGCCAGAAATATGACAAAACAACTGGAGTTGTGTAAATTTGAATTATAGACAAGTGTCAGCAAAAGGTAATATTACAATGCATTTTATTCGAATTCTGTACATTTGGTATTTAACCAAATTTAAAAAAAAAATGTTATGGCAATTTTATAGATGTGTATTTTCAAACGGCTGCTTTTTTGTTCTGAATTCTTAGACCGCAAGTATCCAGTTTTTAATAATAAGCTTCAAGTTTTCAAGATTCTAAAATAAAGCAATAAGCCCCAAGAAGCCGTGGTGTTCACAGGGCTTACTGCTTTTATAAAACGGTTATATACATAGTACGGTTTCACAAAATAAAGCAGAGCAAATAAAGTGTAATGATATTAATAAAAACAGTATTCTTCCACCAAACAATGTAGCTTCGAACACGGCTCAGCCAATCAGAATCAAGCACTGGAACTCCGTTTTATAATTCACGATTCTAAATGCAGTGTGACGCATTTGTTCTCCTGGTGCTGTAGGAGTTCAAGAGCTCCGGCTCGGCTAACACCGAGACCAGCAAGGTAGCAGGAACGCTGGAGACCAAGTACAAGTGGGCAGAACACGGCCTGACCTTCTCTGAGAAGTGGAACACTGACAACACTCTGGGCACGGAGATCACTCTGGAGGACCAGGTACCAGACCCGGAAAACTGAGCTCCACTTGTTTGGATATGAATTACATTCTTGTCATTTAACACGAGTGCTGCTTTCTTCTCCTCAGCTGGCTAAAGGGCTGAAGTTGACATTTGATTCCTCCTTCTCTCCGAACACTGGGTATGTCTGTGCTCTAGTATACTCGATGCCGCTGTATTGACGTTTGGCATTTCCAGTATGGATGTAATATATAAAGGAAGGGATGTATTCATTTTTGGTTGTGAGTCTAAATTAGAACGGCACAATTTGTAGAATTGCAATTTATTAGTATTATTATTATTTATTTTTTTTGCCAAAATTTTATGATATGCTTTAGGATTTACAGCAGCAACAATAATAACAACAACAATAATAATAATCATTTAATTTTTTTAAATAAATAAAAATATAAAAACTACTAAAAATGAATGTTACTCTTGTAATTGACAATTGCAATTTATTATAATAATTTTTTATTTTACAGTTTTTATTTATTTTATTCTCCTGGTAAAAATTGCAATAGCGATTTTTAAAATGCAATAAAAAAATTTTTTTTGCAGGGATTCACAATTTGGCCAAGATTTTGTGGTTTGCTTTAGGATTATTATATGAAGAAGAAGATGATGCTGATAATTCTAATAATTTTCTAAAAATAAAAAAATGACCAAAAAACGAAATGAGAAATATTACTTGGTAGTAGTGGTGTTATTATTGCTAAAAATATATATGTATATAAGAATTGCTTAAAACTAAATGAAAAAATATTACTATTGTAATATTTCACTGTAAAATAAAAAATAGTATTTAATAGAAAAGATGGCATGATTTTGTAAAATGACTAATATCTTAGTATTGTCTTAATTTCTTCATTTTATAGCTAAACCACCAAACATTATTTTTACAGTAAACCGCCGGAGCCCTTAAAGCCTCTCTTTCATTGATAAGCGCCTCTCATTAGAAGAAGACTGGTGCATGTTTAGTTTCCAAATGCATGTTAAAGCCACTCGGACTCAGCAGATGGAGTTCATGTGGATCATTTACATTGAACTGAGATGCTGAAAACACTGCGGATCATGAGCTGCTGATGTGTAACTAAAAACTGTGCTGCGCTTCACTCAGAAATACACATGTGTATGATTTGATAATCACACTAAGCCATATCACGTTTTCGGTGTTCTTTTGATTAGTCGTGCAGCTCTAGTTAAACAAGCGCTGTATTAACACTGTATCAGTTGATAACAGACTTGCATTCAGTGTTGTGGTTTTTGCAATGCACACTGAGTCTGAAATTTTCGCACGTTGAAAAGTAAATACGACCTCACGTTGTGTCAATCCCGTTTACACACTGCCTCCTAAACTTTCATCCGTCATAAAAAAATTCGGATCGGGTTCGATTTTCTGCGTTTTTCGCATCCGTAGTAAGCATTTTAAGAGCTGTTTTGACAATTTAGAGCCACCGTGCAAGCAAACGCCAAAATCCAGAATAGCGATTGTCAAGTTGATCCACTTCGTCTCGCAGCACAAAGCACCGTAAAGATCCTAGCACACCGAGTTCACAGAAATTGGTGGTCTTCTTTTTTTAATATGTAGCTCTAGTATTGCTAGTAAACTTTGAATCGCCCGTGATAATCCCGCTGCTCCTTGATAAGGAGGGGAACTCTCCGTCCTCTCTATATCTCAGGATTGGATGCACCCAATATTTCGAGAGGACAACAAAATCATCCTCACTGCTTGAAGACTCCACTTAGTACTGTTTTGAGAATTATTTTCGTAACGGATTAATGAATACGCATCGGACTCAGTGTGCAAGGTTTCTGTGCGTGGCTTTTTAGGATGACGAATACTTTCGGACTCGGTGTGCACTGACCTAAACTCAGCACAGTTTCCTCTGACGTTTCGCTGGCTTCTCTCCCAACTTCCCAAAGCAAGAAGAGCGGGAAGATCAAGAGCGGCTACCAGCGCGAGCACATCAACCTGGGCTGTGACGTGGACTATGACATCAATGGCACCGCGGTGCACGGAGCCATGGTCGTGGGCTTCGAGGGCTGGCTGGCCGGGTACCAGATGACTTTCGAGGCTGGGAGGAACCGGGTCACCCAGAGCAACTTCGCGGTGGGCTACAAGACCGACGAGTTCCAGCTCCACACAAACGTGTATGTACCAAACGTAATATCGTCAGGCCTACGCTAGCGAGTCCTCTGTGTGTCTCCAGCAGTCTCAAGGTTAGAAAGGTGGGTTATTTATATATGCGTTTATTCCCTGGCGATTGGATTTGTGAAGGGCTTTGCAGCAGGAAGCGGCCCGCTGGTGTCTGGAGCTTGTTTATGTCATTGAAACTCAAAATGAGTTGTGTGCAGTTGTGTTTAGGGCTGTGTATAACACACTCACTGCAGTCTTTTTCATTAAAATATAGTTAAATTATTATTTTTTTAATAATCAAATTAAAGCAATAATCAACATATTTGTCTTTTAGCAAAATAGTAAATTGCAGTTTTATATTCTTACGCTAAAAACATTTTATATAGGATTTGGTAGAAATGGCAAGACAGACATTGAATTAAACATGCTTTTTTATGAAGTAGTGTTTTCTTGTAAAAATACTGCAACCCTACTCTGCATAAAAATACCTAACCCTAACATCAAAAAATGTTTTTTATACTGTATGCATGGTTTATGTGGGTCATAATTAACTCTTCCACAAATTAAGGCCTTAAAAAGGTCTCAAGATGGAACAGAAAGTCTTGGCATTCAAATGTTATACCTCTTAAACTTGAAGCCTATTGTTAAAAACGGGATACTTGCAATCTAAGAATTCAGAACAAAAATCTGCAAATCTGAAACAACATATCTATAAAATTGCCATAAAATGTCCTACTTTTATTTGAGATGCAAACTAAAGATATGAGGTCTTGTTTTCTGAGACTCTGAACAAAATTAAGTGATATATATATAAATTTAGAGCCACCGTGCAAGCAAACGCCAAAATCCAGAATAGCGATTGTCAAGTTGATCCACTTCGTCTCGCAGCACAAAGCACCGTAAAGATCCTAGCACACCGAGTTCACAGAAATTGGTGGTCTTCTTTTTTTAATATGTAGCTCTAGTATTGCTAGTAAACTTTGAATCGCCCGTGATAATCCCGCTGCTCCTTGATAAGGAGGGGAACTCTCCGTCCTCTCTATATCTCAGGATTGGATGCACCCAATATTTCGAGAGGACAACAAAATCATCCTCACTGCTTGAAGACTCCACTTAGTACTGTTTTGAGAATTATTTTCGTAACGGATTAATGAATACGCATCGGACTCAGTGTGCAAGGTTTCTGTGCGTGGCTTTTTAGGATGACGAATACTTTCGGACTCGGTGTGCACTGACCTAAACTCAGCACAGTTTCCTCTGACGTTTCGCTGGCTTCTCTCCCAACTTCCCAAAGCAAGAAGAGCGGGAAGATCAAGAGCGGCTACCAGCGCGAGCACATCAACCTGGGCTGTGACGTGGACTATGACATCAATGGCACCGCGGTGCACGGAGCCATGGTCGTGGGCTTCGAGGGCTGGCTGGCCGGGTACCAGATGACTTTCGAGGCTGGGAGGAACCGGGTCACCCAGAGCAACTTCGCGGTGGGCTACAAGACCGACGAGTTCCAGCTCCACACAAACGTGTATGTACCAAACGTAATATCGTCAGGCCTACGCTAGCGAGTCCTCTGTGTGTCTCCAGCAGTCTCAAGGTTAGAAAGGTGGGTTATTTATATATGCGTTTATTCCCTGGCGATTGGATTTGTGAAGGGCTTTGCAGCAGGAAGCGGCCCGCTGGTGTCTGGAGCTTGTTTATGTCATTGAAACTCAAAATGAGTTGTGTGCAGTTGTGTTTAGGGCTGTGTATAACACACTCACTGCAGTCTTTTTCATTAAAATATAGTTAAATTATTATTTTTTTAATAATCAAATTAAAGCAATAATCAACATATTTGTCTTTTAGCAAAATAGTAAATTGCAGTTTTATATTCTTACGCTAAAAACATTTTATATAGGATTTGGTAGAAATGGCAAGACAGACATTGAATTAAACATGCTTTTTTATGAAGTAGTGTTTTCTTGTAAAAATACTGCAACCCTACTCTGCATAAAAATACCTAACCCTAACATCAAAAAATGTTTTTTATACTGTATGCATGGTTTATGTGGGTCATAATTAACTCTTCCACAAATTAAGGCCTTAAAAAGGTCTCAAGATGGAACAGAAAGTCTTGGCATTCAAATGTTATACCTCTTAAACTTGAAGCCTATTGTTAAAAACGGGATACTTGCAATCTAAGAATTCAGAACAAAAATCTGCAAATCTGAAACAACATATCTATAAAATTGCCATACAATGTCCTACTTTTATTTGAGATGCAAACTAAAGATATGAGGTCTTGTTTTCTGAGACTCTGATCAAAATTAAGTGATATATATATATATATATATATCTGTCAGTCTGGAAACCCTGTCTATGTTTTCCCTTTTGCGGATTAAAATGGAAATATCCTTGGGAATCGAAGTATAGTCAAAATGTTGTTTTGCTGTTATGTGATTTAGTGAAATTCATTGTTCAAAACAAATGATCACCTAGAGAAATTTCTGTGTACTTTATGCATTCCAGAGCATTTTATTGATCAAAATGATGTGTTTTCAAATCGCAGGAATGATGGAACAGAATTCGGTGGCTCTATTTACCAGAAAGTGAATGATAACCTGGAGACGGCGGTCAACCTGGCCTGGACCGCCGGCAACAGCAACACTCGCTTTGGCATCGCGGCCAAGTACCAGATCGATGCCGATGCTTCCTTCTCGGTACGTGTGAAGTTAGCATTGCCACTTCTAGTTTTTTTGCAACATTTTTCACTGATCAAGGCACGCATTTTTTGGCACTTCCTGGCATAATGATAACCGGTTACACCAAACCTTTATATTTGTACATATGAAACTAACAACAGTGTTGACGAATGTTCAGAATTGAACCCGAAATTCAAGATGTGAGGGTAAAAAAAATGCCATATGTAAGTGCTAACACTTTCCATGAAACCAGTATTTATTATACATTATAAGGGTATTCTTAATGCATGCATAATGCCTTATAACATGTTGTATAATCTGATAAATAATCATTGCAACAGTTACAATGTAACATTATAATACATACCTGTTTGTGATGCATTGTAACATGATGCACAATAATATGATGCATTGTAACACTAGGTAAAGCCTGCCTTTATAATGCATCATGAATTGCACACTAATAAAAAAACCTTGTAATGTGTCGTCATCTCATGAATAATCATAACAACAGTAATACATGTAATGCACATTTTAAACCGATTCAGATTGCAACATTTAGGGTTAATTTAAGCAGAACTTTCAGAATCTGAAATTGAATTGAATTCCGATTAGCACATCAATGCCCGTAAACATACCTAGTGTGAATGTAGCCTAAAAATGACAAGAGTCCGGATGAGATGATGTGAAGCATGCTCTGTTATGAAAGGCCTGGTCTCTTCATGATGTTCAGCACTTTCAGAATCTGAAATTGAATTGAATTCCGATTAGCACATCAATGCCCGTAAACATACCTAGTGTGAATGTAGCCTAAAAATGAAAATGACAAGAGTCCGGATGAGATGATGTGAAGCATGCTCTGTTATGAAAGGCCTGGTCTCTTCATGATGTTCAGGTGCTCATCAAATATAAGCCCATGCTATCTGAAGGAGCTGCATTCTAGTGCGGTTATATTTGTTTTCAGTGACTTTTGCAGTCAAACATGTTTTGTCTGTCTTACAGGCCAAAGTGAATAACTCTAGCCTCGTCGGCCTGGGATATACTCAGACCTTGAAGCCTGGTGAGTATGTGTAGATGTGAGTTTATTAAACCTGTTGTAAATGCCTATTCCTCTGCTCCTGGACGACCGCTATCCTGCAGAGTTTAGCTGAACCCACCTCGTGGATTGCTGACAATCTTACAATTACAATTAGGGATGCACAATATTGGACTTTTGCCGATATCTGATATGCCGATATTTTTCATTTTGGCCGATAGCCGATGCAGATACCAATATATTTACTGTTACTCTTGACTCTATCACACACCAAACGCGTCATTCTGTACGTGCTTTCTCAGTTTAAATGCAGCGATCCAAAGCAGAGAATCTAATCATCATTCAGGCAAAACTTTGCTTCAAGAATGAGCCACACTGCTGACGTGATCTAGTCGCTAGCACACCCTGAGCACATGTGAGTTAATGTATTCCTCTTATCGGCAAGACATATCGGCATAATTTTTCATATCGGGCCGATGCCGATATTTACATTTAAAGCCATTATCGGCCGATTCCGATATTGGGCCGATAATATCGTGCATCCCTAGTTACAATTGCATATTACATTGCAAAAATGGCAGAATATTCACTTGGAATTGCTATCACGCCGCAAAAGGTGGCAGTTGCATTTTAGACCATGGCTACGGTCTATTTTCATTATTATTTTTTTTTTATGTTTTTGAAAGAAGTCTCTACTGCTCTCCAAGGCTGCGTTAATTTGATCAAAAATAGAGTAAAACTGTAATGTGAAATATTATTGCATTTTAAAATTAAGTTTTTCATGTACATGACTGGTCAAAAGTTTGGAATAATTAAAAATCAAATTTTAAAACCATATTTTATGTTTCCACAAAAATTGAGCAGCACAACTGTTTTCAACATTGATAATAATCAGAAATGTTTCTTGAGCAGCAAATCAGCATATTATAATGATTTCTGAAGATCATGTGACACTAAAGACTGGAGGAATGATGCTGGAAACATATATTCACATAGAAAACAACCATTTTAAATGGCAATAATATTTCTCAATATTACTGTTCTTTCTGTATTTTTGATCGAATAAATGCAGCCTTGATGAGCAGAAGAGACTCCTTTCAGAAACATTAAGTCTTACTGATGCCAAGCTTCTGAACAGCGGTGTTTATGCCATTTTCAGTAAGCTCTCTTGGATGTGATCGTTCCTTGTCTAACTTTTTCCCTCTTTTCTCGGTTCAGGTATTAAGCTGACCATTTCTGCTCTTCTGGATGGGAAGAACGTTAACGCAGGTGGCCACAAACTGGGTTTGGGTCTGGAGTTCGAGGCATAGGAAGCTGAGGATTGCAATAATCCTGACTTGATTTTTCTTTTTTTGAATACCTATCCTCACACACCTTGTTTCTCTTAGATGCCCTGGCCAAGGAAGCGCACTATGCTCGGTCAAATAATGCATTAGTGATGCTCACTTCTTCAGAGAGAGCAACAGTTGGGTATTTACTAGGTCACACGGAATGAAAGAAGAGCATTTGCAAAGTTATAAATGGCTTGAAAAATGTATTTTCACTACACTCAATGTTATTTATTACAGTGTTGATCATGACAGAATATTTAATTTTTGGGAAGGCGTTGGGTAGAAACGGAGACGTTTACATCAGACAACACTAATAGTAGGCCACAACATTCCTGATCTGCGGTTTTCACCCCAGCAAAGCTTGAAGGAAAGGACCCGTATGTAACGGATGACACTCGCAGCCCATCACGCCTTTAGTTGTAGACACCAGCCTTTTGGGTGGGTTTCGTGTTTTTGTCTCGTCTGTGTGAGTGAAACCACACGTGTATCTTGTCCGTCGTTGTTTTCTCGCTGCATACTGCCTGTACCTTTGATGGCAAAACTCTTTCAGCTCTCCTTGAACTAAAGGAGATTGGAAACAAGCTTCTGACATATTGGGGAGAGCAGAAAAGATCTGAATAGGTGGATGCAGTCTTCCGTTTTTAAGTGTAGGATTAGAATACTGTGGATTTAGCAGTATGGGTACTTTCAGTTGAATAAAACATTTCAACCTGGACCACACTACTCGACTGTGCAGTTTGGTTTCTTACTCCAAAAATCTGTCTTGTTGCATATAATAACTAGTATTTATTTCTTAAATGTGCATTTCTAAACTTTTTAAAAGGTTTTAGTACATACACAAAGATTTTGGCATTGTGCCATTGTCTACTTCTTTTCCCCCCCTTTTTTTTTGTCAATGCAAGATGCATTCAGTCGCATGTACTCAAGGTGTATGGAAACATACTTCCTTTCAAAGAAATCTCCCCTTTTCACAAAAAAAAAAAAGGTTTATAATTGTGCTGAAGAGCACAAAAAGCTTTATAAACCAAATTAATATCCATTGTATTTATACCATTGATAAAATCACAGGGCTGGCATGGAGGTATGTTAATAACAATATAAATAGTGTTTTTTATCAATTTATTAAAATTGCTTTAACCCCTTTGGTGCTCCTCTGCTACTTGTAAATTTGTATTTTATCGTAAAGGTACAAAAGTTGGTAAATGTTTTGGCACTATGCGAACATGCACAAGATCTGTAGACTGGACTATTGTAATGCACTGCTAGCTGGTTGTCCTGCATCTTCAATAAACAAGCTACAGGTAGTCCAAAATGCAGCGGCTAGAGTCTTTACCAGGTCAAGAAAATATGATCATATTGCTCCAATTTTACAGTCTCTGCACTGGCTACCTGTTAAGTTCCGTATCAGTTACAAAATATTATTACTTGCCTATAAGGCCCTTAATGGGTTAGCTCCTGCGTACCTAACTAGTCTTCTACCACTCTACAATCCATCACGCTCCTTAAGGTCACAAAATTCTGGACTTTGGATAGCAAAGTCCACTAAAGGAGGTCATTTGGCTCCCAAACTCTGGAATAGCCTTCCTGATAACGTTTGGGGTTCAAACTAGATTTTAAAGACATCTCTTTAGCCAAGCATTCTGTATTTTAAGCCTTAAAATACAGTATGCTTGGCTAGAGATGTGTCTTTAATCTAGATTTAAATGGTGTAGTGTGTTTTGGGTAGGGTTGCCACCTAAAACACACTACAGAAACCCATTTTTAATGGTTTTAATGGTTAAAAGTTGATGGTTTGTAATATTTGTATCATAAATGTGCATTTAATATTGACCAATTGGAACTAGCAACTTAATGCACATTTGATGTTTGTACTGTTAGGCATCTTTCTCCAGGTTGATGTGCTGCTTGGCTGGCTAGCTGTTCAATGGTTTCCTCTTTTTGTGTGATTGAGATGAAAATGTCTTTTTTTATAATTTGAGTCACTTTGCAAAAGTTGCTAAAAGATGCCAAAAACTAGCTATAAAATAGCTAAATTTGTTGCTAGGTGCTTTTTGAAAAAGTTAGGAAAAGTTGCTCTGAGACCGGAAGTCTCGCACTCTTGTGACGTCAGTGTTAACTAACTATTATTATTTCTAATAGAATTTATTAGATATTATCTATTTTCTCAGAATGCTGAGATATAAATTAAACAATTTAAATCACCTCTTGTTTTTGTTTCAACCAGAAACAGGAATAAAACTCGACCAGAAGAATGATATCAGAAGCAGAGGCGGGGAAATCAATCAGTGGTTAATTATGTGAACCAAACTAGGTTCTGAAAGATAATGCATAATGATATTAAAGTTGGTTCCTGATTAAATAAACAAATCGGGTAAACATGGGCAAAAATGGTCTGAGAGAAATGCAAAAGTTGTACATATTAACTGGGTAGTAACTGAACACAGGTGATCTGCATAACGTAATCAGATTCCAAAAATGAAGTACTTGTAATTGGGTTATATTACATTTTAAAATACTCGACAGTTACTTTTTAAAGACGCCATATTATTTATTTTTGAAATATAAATTTTATTTGAATTATTTAATCACGAAGTTGGTTATTTAGCCATGTATTACTGTGTCTTTGGAAGGCTTTTATCTTTCAAACTATTATTTCTTTTAATTTTACATTTCATTGAACTCGCAAACGCCCTGCAGTTCCTTCATGAATCCCGGTTTGGGAAGCCTTGATGTAATGTAATGGAATATATTTTCTTTCCGTTTTGTATTTCGGTGTCAACGTAGTACAAGTTTATCCTATTTAAATCAATGTGATAGTTGAGTTGGGTCAAAAGAAATCTGAAAGTAATCAAAAAGTAGTCCAATTAGATTTGGTAATAGATTACGTGGTAGTTGCACAAGTTTCAGTCACATTTTTCCAATGTAGGCGTGTAAGGAAATGCCACGATTAAATAAAAAAATATTTTGCATGCAGCGAAGAAACTTATAATGAGAATCACTTAAAGCAGCACTATAACTTTTTCTGTGTTCAAAATGTGCAAACTGTATGTAATGAGCGAGTACATCATGAGTTAATCTAAACTGCGTTTTTGTCTTCTTCCGAATCACTACGGCACACTTATAATAAGTACTTATATTTGGACTATTGTAGCCTGATCACCGCTGCGGAGTAATATATACCTGCGTGAATCGCCATAGACATACACTTAGAGAAGTAGATCCGGTTGGAATGTTCTTCCGCGGGATGCGTGCAGTTCTGTTTATTAACCGCTAGAGCGCCTAAAGTTACAGAGTGCTGCTTTAAGGCTCTTCTGCAGTTTACTGTCAAAATAAAGAACATAAAAATGACATGATGCATCTTTTGAAAAGTGAAGAAATTACTGATCACAATTATATGAGTGTTTTACAGGTGTAATGTAAAATGAAATAATTATAATACTTTCCTAAATACTTACAATAGTAATATTCATTTAGTTTTTCAGTATTTTATATATTTTTTAATAAAAACTTGTTTAGTGTTATTTTCGATCTATAGTGAAGATACAGTTTTTATGAATTACTCTCACTCAGGGACTAGTTTAGTAAGATTTTACCAGAGATGATTTTCGAATTTTGATCACATGTTAATTTATAAAGTCTTGTGTAATTTAAGCTGCTGTATATTTCTGATTTCTTGTCTCTTTTCTTTTGTGTTTATGTAATTGTTGTATTATTGCAACTGAAAATAGCCTTAGATGCTGACATGGTGATAAAAATATAGAACTATTACTATATCCGTAGTGAGATATAATCACATTTTTGACCAAAATTGTGCAGCTCCACAAACAAGCAAAGCAAAAAAAAAAAAAAAAAAAGGTTTTTGAATGCGATTTTAATTTGCTATTTTTATTCACAAAAAGAAAGTAAAGTAAATTAACTTAGATACTCTAATGTTATGGCAGCTTTTCCCTGTGGTATCTTAAATGGTGTTAAATATCAATATTTTTTGAATGTCAAGGTATTGCATCAAAGATAGAAGTGTTAGTATCGTGACAATACTGGTTCACATGTACAGTGCTGGCCAAAATGATTAGAACACAATATTTCCACCAGCTAAAGAATGGTTTTAAGTCAGATATTTCTATGTTTTGCTGTAGTGTGTCAGTAGGATATATCAGTTCACATTTCCAAACATTCATTGTGCCATTAATTGTAATAATGCAGTGAGATGTTAGTGCTGCACACAGAGATCTGATCTGATCATCATCAGTCTGTCTGGAGTCACATGAAGAAACAGAACAAACTGAGACCGACTCAATCCAGAAGAACTGACGCTTCAAGAAAGCTCCTGAGAAACTCTGCTCAAGTGCACCGAGGGCAAACGCTGCTTTAAACACAGAGGATGCTCACACCAAATGCTGATTTCATTTAGTTAACAGAAGTTCATTGATCAAGAAAATCTGTGTATGACGGCATCCTCATTTTACAGCATTTTTACACAAGTGCCTAAACTTTTAACAGTGCTGGAGCTTTGCAGGAGCTTTCTCCGGCCATGCCCTCGCTCAAGATGACCAACGATTACATCTTTTGAAGAAATGCAAACAGCTGATTTTGTCCACACATTATGTCTTATTTAATCAGGGGAGGAGAGATTGTGCTTTAGTAGTGTGTTAGTGTGCACTCTTCAGAAGGTCTTCGGTTCTGCTTGTTTTCTTCGGTGTCTATAAAAGCAAACGGTGTTGCTCTACTTTGAATCATTTTTGAAGGAAAGCAAATGAAGGCCTGTATCTGTAAATATGTGATTATAAACCTGCTGTCTGTCACGTATAAGCCTAGAACAAGATACGGATGATTATTTCGAGTCGTGTTCAGCTCGGCTCATACGAAGCCATGCTAACTCCAGAACAGAGTTAGATGTGTGTGTTTGCTTTGCAGCCGTTTTGGGCTGGTCGCCTTTCTGTGTGTGTTATGACTTCAGTGAAGTTGTTTTATAGGAGCCGGGCCCACCGTTGCCAAAGCGCGGGAGATTTATGGGAAATTAGCGTGCAACTGTTTTTATTCACTGCTTTAAGCATTGCCCCATGCATCTCAACACGACTGTAGCAGCAGCAGCCGGAGGCGTCGTATATATCAGTATGTGTGTGCAAATCTGCTTCAGCTACAATAACTAGGGTTTCAAAAAGGTGGAAAATATCCAGTACATTTCAGAAACATGCCAGGATTTTTTTGGGAATATTCCAGGGTTTTCACCCCTTTGCAACCCTACTAATAACACGCATTACAGCACCTTCATCTCTGATTTCCAGCAGAGCACATGAAGGTTGTGTCTGTGCATGAAGACAGCATATTGATTTCCTCTTCAATCAGTATAAATTTATTTATCAATAAAGCACCTCTGTATGCACACAGTCACCGAGTGTCTCTTTTATTGTGATATTGGATTTTGTTGCACTTTATTACACTGATGCAATGCTACATTTCTACAAACCTGATGAAGAAACAAACTCATCTACATTTTTGATGGCCTGAGGCTGAGTACATTTTTAGCATATGTCCATTTTTGGGTGAACTATTCCTCTAACGAATTGGATAGCTATCTGATCAGAGAAAACGCATGAAGTAGTCAAGTGTAAACAGGCCCACACGTCCCGAGGTGACAGCAGAAATGTATGTGCTGTATATTTCAAAATGTTTGATAACTGTCATATTTAAAAAATGTGTAATAATTATAAGAAAAACCTGAGACCAATCAATCGCAGTCAGAATGCAAGTGGTTGTGTCCTCTGGCGGCGAGGTTGAGAAATGGCTGAGTTGCATTGATGCAATAAAGATGATATTTGCTTGCGGTGGGAACATTGCGTTCATTTTCCTATGATTCATTTCAGAAGTGCTGCACTGAAGTGTTGTTTTAGTCATTAAAGTTTCAGCATCGCCTGCATGACTCGCAAGTTCTGATAACTTATGAGTCATTCTATAATTTAGTGTACATTTCACATCAGGACAAAAGTGTAAAAACAATATGCGTTCTTAATGAATCAACTACTGGTTTCAGTTTATGTATTTTTATCAGTGTAACTTGTCTGCTAGTTGCCAAGCTTAATCATTGCACACAATTTTGATATTACAAGAAAAAGATGTTTTCCCGGGCGGTGAGTTTACATTTTCACCATTTTGATTCAAAATTTCAATGCCAGGTCTTGTTTGGCCAACCAGATGTTATTTTCTTAATCAGGTTAACCTCAAATTTCAAATATTTGAATTAAAAATATTGCAGATCATAAAAATGTACCGGTTAATGTTCTCAAAATGTCCACTGAAGAAAATGACTGGTCACATGGTTTTATGATAAACCATTTTTTTTGGTGTTATTTTCAGTGTTTGATTAGTAACATTTGACCATTTTTGAGAACATGAGAAAAATTAAATATTTTCTTATTTGAAAGAAAAACTATTTTTAACCCTATTTTTCTAAGGCATTTGGATTGTAGACATACATTTAATATAGCTATAGGTAATCTTGACCTTAACAGTTTATTTATTTATTTTGAACTCAAGACTCATTACATTACATTTAATAATTTAGCAGACACTTTTGTCATTTAAAAAGCAGACATTGCAAAAACTGCAATTTAAGGGACATAAAGACAATATCAAGCGAATTTAAAAACAGCATGCGTTTTCAGTGTTTGATTAGTAACATTTGACCATTTTTGAGAACATGAGAAAAATTAAATATTTTCTTATTTGAAAGAAAAACAATTTTTAACCCTATTTTTCTAAGGCATTTGGATTGTAGACATACATTTAATATAGCTATAGGTAATCTTGACCTTAACAGTTTTTTAATTTATTTTGAACTCAAGACTCATTACATTACATTTAATAATTTAGCAGACACTTTTGTCATTTAAAAAGCAGACATTGCAAAAACTGCAATTTAAGGGACATAAAGACAATATCAAGCGAATTTAAAAATAGCATGCTCAAAAAATAAAAAAATATTTACTGACCCCAAACTTCTGAACAGTAGTGTATATTGTTACAAAAGATAAATGCTGTTCTTTTAAACGTTTTATTCATCGACATCGACACACACACACACACACACACACACACACACACACACAAATGACATGAGACATGAGAAGTACCCTAAACTATAGAATGACTGTTTAGTAATTCACTCCCTTCTAAACTTTGCGGGGGACCTTGTAATGTTCTGAGACGAAGAGCTTTTTTAGCATGAGATTAGTCATTTCTGAGAGCAGTGACAGTGGGCTGTTTGGATCTCTTTAGTGACTTATCAAAGCACAACACTCTCCCACTGATCCACAATTAAAGAAACCGCTATCCTATCTATCCTCCCGAATATGGATCAGGCTTATCTGTGCTCTTCTTACAGTTCTGCCTCAACAAGAGTATTATTAGTAAAGTCTCATCTAATCCAGCTCTTTAACTTCTGTAGGGCTGAAGGAAGGCTGTTTTAGTTCCCTACTTGAGGAAAATTGACTTTAGCTTATTATTGGTTACATTTATTGTAGGCTAGAATCTGAACCACTGATATTTAGGTACAAATATATTACACTCATTTTTCTACTTGATGTTTAAAACAAGGTTTAATGCTTGTACTGGGTAGCGGTCCCCATGCATTTGTGAGCAGAATAATGCAAAAAGCAATCTGCATTACAGCAATTTGCATTTATTGTAAATTAATTGTTGTGCTCAAATGTCTCCTGTGTCATTTTAGAATCAACGTTGTGCAGAGTACTAGTACAGAGCCAATACAATGTAGTTAGTATATAACCAGCAGTGCAAATAGCGTCATATTTCAAGGCCTTAGGTCTCTTTAATGCATATTTTGTGGCACCACGCCGCAAAATGGGCTGATGGCACAATAGGTGGCTCAGTTGTCCTATATGCTAATTTGAATGGTTTCTCATGCGCACATAAATGTCTGTATGTTTTTTATTTTTGCAAAGGTGATCGAGGCTATGTCAAACAGTGCTAAGGATATCGTGAGAAGAAACCCAAAAAGCAAAACATTTTGCATAATGAAAAAGTGCATCTTGAATTCATTCAGTCGTGTTTGACAATCACTAAAGCATCACTAAACAGCTGGCATGAAAACACACTTCTTTTATGATAAACTTGTTTTCATTAACTTTTAAATTTTCTATTAATTAATAGAGATCTACCTGCTCAAAATTTGGCTTTCCTTATGGTAGTACGTCTAATATCAAGGCCTAATGTCGGATTTAGCACATCCGCTGTGGCGGCGGAGAAACCATGACACAAAATGGGCTGATGTGTGCATTGTCCTATTTGCCAAGTTCAAGGGTAGAAAAAAAAGTGTTCAAAATGTGGCATTCGTTAGGGCACTATGTCATATTTCAAGGCCTTAGGTCTCTTTAATGCATATTTTGTGGCACCACGCCGCAAAATGGGCTGATGGCACAATAGGTGGCTCAGTTGTCCTATATGCTAATTTGAATGGTTTCTCATGCGCACATAAATATCTGTATGTTTTTTATTTTTGCAAAGGTGATCGAGGCTATGTCAAACAGTGCTAAGGATATCGTGAGAAGAAACCCAAAATGCAAAACATTTTGCATAATGAAAAAGTGCATCTTGCATTCATTCAGTCGTGTTTGACAATCACTAAAGAATCACTAAACAGCCGGCATGAAAACACACTTCTTTTATGATAAACTTGTTTTCATTAACTTTTAAATTTTCTATAAAAAAAAAAAAGTCTGGAAATGCAAATATTTTTACATACTCTGCTTTCTTTTCTCCATACTTTTCCAGACCTGGAAATGACTTAAATCAAATTCCAGACTTTTCCAAACTGCGTAGGAACCCTGTGGAGGACCGGTGTCCTGCAACCCTAATTACAGACAGCTGCATGTGTTTGATTAGCGACGGACCTCTGCAGGACACTGTCCCTCCAGAGCCCAAGAGCAGATTTCCTTCCAAATACAATCTGACATTGCTTTTTCTGTGCACTTACACAAGTGTCTCAGCTTAAGCTTATTGATGCACATCTGGTGTCATTTCAAGCTGAGAAGCTGACAAATGAAGACGTGAGAGTGCAGTAACACAAGGGGCTCTGTTCTCAGGGTAATTGATAGTCTCCCTCTAGTGGTGGCTTGGATTGATGGCAGAAAGTAAAAGTATTCATCAACATGCACACTAAAATCAACCACTCTTCCCTATATCATGAGTTGCTGTGATCTGGCAGAGATTCCTCCTGTCAGTCGTCTGATGCTCTCATAATGAGACGAGACGCATGTTCACAAACATCTGCCGCACATCACTGCGCTCTTATAGAGATGAGAGCGTCTGTCAGCCTGTCTGCGTTCACACTCACACACTCGACACACAGCCGAGTTTCCCCGTCTTCTGTATGTCTTAGCCGTCAGCACGTTTCACAGGATACTTGATAACGTTGTCTTTACTGTGTGAGTTCACTGTAGAAATAATGTCCTCATAACATCTGATATAAATCTCAGTTGCACTTATTCTCTAAATGATATTATGAGTTAGACAATCTCGTAAGTCATTCACCTGTCATCTTTCAGATAAGTTTGTCCCTGTGTACTTTCCTTAATAATTTTAAATCCAGAAATGAAATGTGTAATTATTAATTTATTCACCCTTGGACAAGTCAGACTTTTTTTCTTCAGTAAAACAGTAAAGAGGATTTTTAGCTGAAACCGTGCTCCTTGGTGAATCATAAAATGAAAGTCAGTGGCTGCCCATTTTTGAGAACTAAAAAGCTTAAAAAAGCATAAGGAACACAAAATGAACGATATATTGAGGTCTTATGAAGCGAAACAATCAGACTGTGCAAGAAACAACATTATTTACAACATTATTGCAATTATAAATCATTATAACTATCCCTTTAAGGCAAGAAACTACAGGCAAAAACATTGTTTTTTATGCACTGTTCAATATTGCTCTTTTTGGTTTTTCATAAAGTGTTTTTTTTTTATAATAAAGGTGCTTCATGATGCCATAGAATAACCTTTTTGTCTAAATGGTTTCATAAATAACCTTTCTGTTTCACAAAAGCTTCTTTGTGATGAAAGAAGGTTCTTCAGATTATAAAATGGTAAGAAAGAGATGCTTCTTTGTGGAACCAAAAATGGTTCTTCTGTGGCATCGCTGTGAAGAACCTTTGAAGCACCTTGATGTTTAAGAGTGTAGTGGAAAAAAAACATGCAAAACACACCACTTTTAAGTGTTTCTTTTATTGCACTTTAACTATTTGCATCTGTAGATATCAATGACAATATATATCTTTAAAGAGTTTTTTATCCTGCACTAGGCCAGAAATCTCCACTTCAGCAGCACTTACATACACCAAACTTTCTTTTTTTTTTTTGCTTGAAAAGCTCAAGTATCTTTCACAAGTTACAAAATGT